TGATCCATCCGTCGCATAGTTTGAGTCTCATGATGCCCTCCTGGTTGCGGCGCCGTTCATAGACCTCCACCTCGGTGCCGGGCGGGATGGTCCGCAGCACCTGCGACTCGATCTCCACCGACGGACGCACATTCTGACCACACAGACAGACAGACAGACAGACAGACAGAATACAATGTCATGACTGAATGAGGTCGTGTACTGCCTCCCCTCCCTCCCTCATGCATTTTGGTTATTTACCAGCATGTATGCGTCGATGCTGCGGTAAAGCCGTGGGGGCTGCAAGATGCCCTCCTCATCGTCCACTCGCCACACTGCACACCACACAACACACACACGTGCCAAGCACATCCATCCCTTGCAGTCATGAGAGAGAGGTGTTTGTTTCTCGCTCACACTCACTCACCGAGGAATGGCCCCAGAACGCCATTCTCGGTCAGTTTCTCCGACACCCATCCCGCCGCATACCCGCCCCCGTCCTCGCTCCCCGCCCCACCACCGCCCCCACCACATGTGGGCGAGTCACACTCGGGCATCTCCACCAGGTCCTCCTCATCGCCCCCATCCCTCGCCATCAACACCTTCAGACGCATCACCTCCTCGCCAGTCATCCAACCGCCCCGAGCGGTCAGGGGGGTGGTGTCTACGTCGTAGACGTGTGTAAGTGTGCCTGGGGAGAGGGTGAGGGTGCGGGGCGAGGTCAGGGAGGCGCTCTCGCGGACGTTGATCGAGTAGGGGCCGCACACGCGGTAGCCGTACGTGTGCTGACGGACAAAGTGGTCCAGCAGGTGGGACAGACTGCGGTGCGACCGTCGCAGGGCCGGATCGTCACTGCCCGTCATCTGCTCCGCCACGTGAGCGACCGACTGCACGAGGAGTTCGACCACCAGGGCGCCCACATTGACGCTGTCGTTGCTGGGCATGCTGATCCACCCCTTGGCCGTCTTGTAGGACAGGCTGCGGCCGTGTTCCATGGCAGAGTCGGCGAGGTCGAACGTGTGTGCGTCATCAGTCGTGGTCTGGTTGGGGTTGGGGGTGGGTGTAGAGGCGTGCGGCCGCCAGAAGGGGGGAGGGGCGGAGGGCGCAGCTTCGCTTGGGGGCTTGGGCGGGCTGGCGGGGCCCACCTCAAACACCTTGACGAAACTCCCGCCCTGAGTGAAACAGACACACACACACACATGAGGCATCTGTCTCAGCGCAGCACGAGCCAGTGGTCCTCACACACCTCTATCACGCCGACAGGTTCTTCATCGCCAGGTTTGTTGGCCGACCACCCCGAGGGATGGCCGCCCCCACCGGCCCTCTGCGTGGCCCCCCTAGCCCGGCCGTCGTGGAACTGAGACCACAGTGTGGGGGCCTTGTTCTTGCTCTTGCTCACCGGGGTGGGCAGGCGGCCCAGCTGGTAGAGCAGGTGCCTGCCCTCGTTCTGGCCCAGACACAGGCCCAGTGCGAACCACACGGCCGATGGATGGGCGACGTCGGTGCGGTCGAGGATGCGGGCGATCTTGTCGCGGTGGCAGCAGTAGTAGCACAGGAGGATGAAGTGGTACACCTCAGTGGGCGACGAGGCGCCGGGGATCTGCAGGTGGATGTCCTGGTAGGTCACCCGGGCCAGCACCTGCCAGTAGTGCGAGAGGCCCTCGCTCAGCGCCGTCGCCATGCACCACTCCTTGTCCTTGCCGTCCTCCCGAGCCCCGCCCTCCTTGACACTCGACCGAGAAGACGAGAGCGGCGACAGACACACGAGCGATGACGGGTCGGTGGCCTCGTCCAACGCCACAGTCATGACGTCCTCCTCATGCTCCAGCGGCGCGTGCGGCGAGGGGGACGACCGCGACGACGGTGATGCACCACACGGATGCTGCTGCTGCTGCTGCTGGGGTGTGAGCTGCAGGTCCAGCCCCAGCTGTGAGCATGCCTTGAGCAGCGTCTCGAACAGGCCCTCAGGGAAGTAGTCATGCGACTTGACCGGCACCGTCTCAGCGTCGATGGATGGCACCAGCTTCATCGCCTCCCCGCTGGTGCTGCTGCTGCTGTCCGCCCCGTCAGCCCTGGGGGGGCCCGTTGCGGATGCGTCGATTGGTCTGAATGGTAGGGGCAGGGTGTGGGGGAAGGCTCCTCTCCACTGTGAGGGCAGGGGCACCCCCCTGTCGCTGTGTTGCCCGCCGGAGGGGCGGTAGCGGGTGGAGAAGGCTAGCGCCAAAGCAGTGAGGAAGACCTCCTGCTCAAGCTCCATGCTCACGGCCAGCGGCAGGCTGTCGAGCGGGACATCGATACCACCATCCGCACCAACCTCACCCGCACCAGCCGTCGCTGCCGCCTCTCCGTGCTCCTCCTCGTTGGCCATGGCCGCGACGTCAGACATGTGTGGTGTGATGATGGATCGCTCACAAAAGCCGATCGATCGACGGTTGGTGGTGTTGTGCCGAAAAAGAAGAAGGCTGACGAATGACGCTCAGTCAGTCAGTCCAGGGAAGGTCGGGGTGCTGTCCCCAGCAGCCCCTCGTGTTGCGGGTCGGCTGCCATCTTGCGAAGGGCGCTGGGTGTGCGGATGTGTGTGTCAAGCAGGGGCGGCCTCCGCAGTCCCATACATCACATCTTCGTACCGCTACGACGCCACTGCAGCCACACAGGGTTTGTCAGTCACCACAAGAGTGACCGAGAGTGAACAGCCAGCACTTTTGCTCCCACAGGCAGGGGCGACCTGCAAGCACATGAAAGACCAGGCCGTGTGCTTAAAGCGACGTTTCCTGTGTGCTTTTCCCGTGGTTGCGTACTTGTGAATCAAGGAGCTGTGCTCTTGAGATGGTGGACGCGGAGAGCTGCGGCTTTTGGATCTTTTCCTGCAGAAAAGACTACTGATCTGTGATCCACACCGCCCGCCACGTCGTGAGAAAGAAGCTCCTCCCTCTAGCTCGCCACAAGAGTCGAGCTCGCGCTCGAAAAGAGGCTCGCCGTTCCAGGATCTCGAGGTAGAGATCTGCAGTGACGTCTGCCCTGTGAAAGGATCGCAGGAAGAACCGATATGGATGTTCTGATATTTCTGCTACTGTGCTGCCCTGTGTGCCTCGCCTTCCGCCGGCCGGCTCTAAGAGGTCTTCCTGCTGGCCGCAGCCTTTCGCTGCAACGCGCTTCACCACGACGGCAGCTCGTCAGGCTGTCAGCTGCGCCCGCGACGCTGTCGCCGTCGATGGACAATGCACTCTATGAGAAGCCGCTGATCTCCCTCCCCTTTGACCGCATGGACGCTGCCATGGTCAAAAAGTAAGCCAACAGACAGATAGACAACAGACGGACGACAGCTCACATATTGGCGCATAGCTTCGAATGCGCGTGTGTCTGTCCGTGTGTGTGTGTGTGTGGCTTGGTGCGTCCCATCAGGAAGTATTTCCTTGAGAAGGAGGACAGCGGTGAGAAGTCGTATGCGCTTGACGATGTCTATCGCGAGGCGGTTGAGAAGTACAAGGACGACCCTGAGAGGCTGGAGCAGATCGAGAGGAACGCCAAGAGGTTCAGGAAGGAAATCAGCCAGCGGCAGCGGCGGCTGGAGATGCTCGTCCAAGCACTCGAGAGGCACGGGCTGGAGGTGAGAAACGTCACTCATCTGCTTGCAATAACACGTGCATTGTGCCCTCTTTACCTGTGCTCTGCTCTTGTTTTCATGTGTGTGGGATGGGAGCAGCTGCGGGGCGATAGCTGGCTGACTCGCAGCTTCATTTATCGCAACGAGACGGACCTCCGCAACGCCGTGTACACGATGCACAAGATGAAGGTGCTCAACGAGCACTGCAACATCCGCCACAGGTGGCAGAAGTACCTCGAGGAGAGGGAGGCCACCCGGCAGCCGCCCGACGAGCAGCCGCCGAGTCGCGAGGAGAGAGCGCAGATAGAGAAGGAGCGGTTCCTGTTTTACGACTGCGTGTACGCGGACTTCGTCAAGGAGCACCCCGAGCACAAGTTCAAATACATTCCCTACAGGCCGCAGCAAGACACAGGGCTGGCAGGGGTGGCGGGGGAGGGAGGGACGGAGGAAGCGCCTGGCAGGGAGGAGGCGCAGGCACCCACTGGCGACTGACTGACGAGGGGGAGAAAGTTGCGTGGGAGTGTGAATGAATGGGTGGCGATGATTGATGCGACGGATACAGACAGACGATTGGGACGAAAGTCTAATGAAGACTAATATTTTGTCTGTCTGCTTGTGTGCGGTGCGACCGCTGTTCTGTCAATGATGGATGGATGAAATGAACCATTCATTATGTCCGATGTCCAGTGCACACACCGCAGATCATCAACATCACCGAGTGGCACATCAATGCATAGTCTTCTCGCTTTCTTTCAGCCCAAACCACATCCACACAAGCGGCCCCGCCCCCTTGCCCAACGGTCGCCGATCTGTGCCTGCCTGCCTGCCTGCCTGAGACACACACGAACAGACAGACAAGATGCGATGAGATCGGTCATCACGGGGAATGGATGTGGTGGCCTTTCTACTCAAGAGGCGTGTCACAAGTGCTGCTGCCC